TTTCAGATCTAAATGTAAAGCCTCAGAAGAAACAACTGGTTGCTGTTGGTACTAGAAACGAAACCAAACTGACATGTCACTTGCCAAGAGAGCACATCTTCGTGGGTGATTTTGTGTATTTGGAAGTAATCATGAGCATAGCGTCTGTTTTGTCTGCATGTGTTTTGGTGATTTGCAGTCAGCTTTCAAGAAGAGGGGAGATCTTGAGAATTAGCTATATTGCCTTTTATAAAGCATTCTATTTCACTAAACCAAAGAAACCTTCAAAACCGAACCACATGGGCTGCTTTTCACTATTTTTCCACTCATCACGTGCATCTCCTTAGACACCTTTGCTGCTCTTCCCATTTCGGTGAGTAATGCCTTGATTTGCCCAGCTATTGGTAGAATTTGAACTGACATCAGGTTACATTGTGTCATGAGGTGGGACATAATGACGTCCACATATGACGTCCACATATCCTCTTTATGACCTGGTCATTGCTTTAATTTCAAAGGAGCAACACACTCAGCTCAGTACTTGAGTCTATTTAAAGCATGTTAACTGGTGTATCGGAGCAAAGTCACACATTCTTATTATGAACCCCTGACACTGTGACATGAGCTTTCCAGTTTCATTCAGCCTGTCCATGTATTGTTGGTGCTTTTTTATTTTAAGAAACAAAGATATGTATTCCCACTGTTTGCTTTTTATAAAATATATTTTTATTGATTTCAGAGAGGAAGGGAGAGTGAGAGGAAGATAGAAACATCAATGATGAGAGAGAATCATTGATCAACTGCTTCCTGTGCTCCCTATACTGGGAATCCAGCCTGCAACCTGGGCATGTGCCCTGACTGGGAATCCATTCGTGACCTCTTAGTTCATAGGTCAGTGCTCATCCACTGCACCACACCAGCCAGGGCCCATTATTTGCTTTTGATAAACTGACACTCTTAAACCTTTGAAACTATTTTCTTGCTTCCCACCACAGGGAAATACACAACTGACTCTTACTGTGAAAGGAAGATTGCACTGTCTCATCATCAAGCCCACCTTGAGGCTGGTGTAAAAAAAAAAAAAAAAAAAAAAAATGCTGATGCCTGCATAACATGTATCTCTTAAGTAAATCAAACCTGTAATTCTACTTGGCTGCCTCTAAGTCATTTTGATTCCTGCCAACAAGAACATTAATGAACCTAGTACCTCCACAGCCTTATTTGTGTGTAAGACTCCATTTCTTATGCCTCGTTCCAGCAGCTGCCCTGCTCCATCTGATAAAGTGGAAAGCTGGAGCAGGTCACACAAATCCAGAGCATTGCTTAAACCCAGATTATTGTAGGCAGCATTCTCTAATTCTTCCATCTGCTTTTAGGATGGCAAATAATAAGGTTTCTGGGGTGTGGATTTGAAAAACCATCCATACACTAGTAATCTTGACATGAAAAGGCATTTTATGAAATTCAAATTATTCATGTCCTTATTCTTCCTACTTTTATTCTTTTGACAATGATAAATATATTGTACTTTTTGCTTTAGGATCTTGGCTTACCTCTATGGATTTACAGTTGTGGGAATATTCCAGAATAAGTAGTACTTCCAATGATGGGCTATAACAAATCCCGAATGGCATGAGAAAGATAGGAAGTATGGTAAAATGGACATAAAAATATAAAAGAATATAGCCCTAGCTGGTTTGGCTCAGTGGATAGAGCATCGGCCCTCAGACTAAAGGGTCCTGGGTTCAATTGCAGTCAAGGGCACGTACCTCGGTTGTGGACTTGAACCCCAGCCCTGGCCCTGGGCCCAGGTGCGTGCAGGAGGCAGTCAATCGATGTGTCTCTCTCGCATTGATGTTTCTCTCTGTCTCTCTCCCCTCCCTTATACTCTCTCTAAAAATCAATGGAAAAATATCCTCAGGTGAGGATTAACAGCAACAACAGCAAAATTGTTTCTAAATTTCTCTACACTAGAAACACCTGGAGATCTCTTTAAAATTCCATAGCCCAGACCACACCCCAGACCAATTAAATCACACTTTCTTGGGGTGGGACATGAGTGTTTTGACTCCTCAGGTGATTCCAATGTGCAGACTAGCTTGGGGACCACTGATTTAGACAACTACTTCATGACTGCAAGAGGGCATAGCTCTGGCTTCTCCTGGACTCCTGCCTGCTTGGCGGGAGGTTCTCTGCTGTCCAGATTCACCAATTTTGCCAACTTTGAGCCTAAGCAGGGGCACAGAATGAGAGAGAATTTAATCATAGACAGAAAACAGTTAAGCATCAAAACTACAGGTGGTTATAACATAGTTGATTTGCAAATTTTTAAAGTAATTTTTATTTGTCATTTTTCCTGACAACAAAAACTGCATCTCAGATTTGACTTTTTCTATTTCAGTCTCAGATACTAGAAGCTTATGGCTGTTAGTTTTATCAGGCTGCTCCACCAGGGTAACATTTTTGTCATGCTTTGGGTGATTGTTTTAGAATTCCTTCTTTGAGTTAGTCATCTTTAAAATACCTAACTCAGAGTGAGAATTGTCCATTCGCCTTGTTTAAAGAAACACAGAGACAAGCATTTAAAATTGTATTTTCCTTATATATACAGCTCATTGCTTATTTATATAATCAATCATTGCCTGCCCACAAACTGAGGGAAGCTTGATTTTAGATCTAACAATTGTTTACTCAAAGGGACCGAATATACATAGTTGATACCTTTTATCATAATTAGCATTTTTACAAATAACCACCATGCTGGCCTGTAAAATTTTAAAGCTAATAGTGTAATCCAATAAAACAATGATTTTGCTATATCCTATATAATAAAAGGGTAATATGCAAATCAACCGAACAGCAGAACAACCAGTCACTATGATGCGCACTGACCACCAGGGGGCAGTTGCTCAGTGCGCTCCCACAGGGGGCGCACCGCTTAGCCAGAAGCTGGGCTCATGGCTGGTGAGCACAGCGGCAGTGGTGGGAGCCTCTCTTGCCTCTGCAGCATGCTAAGGATGTCCAACTGATGTCCAGTGCTAAGGGCTCCGAGACTGTGAGAGGATGCAGGTTGGCCTTAGGGATCCCTCCCCCCACCCCCCCGCCCTGAGTGCATGAATTTCATGCACCAGGCCTCTAGAGTGTGTGTGTGTGTGTGTGTGTGTGTGTGTGTGTATGTGTGTGTGTGTATCTTGAAACATTAACCCTTTTCGGTCCAACCTCAAGACTGACTCGACAGACCAGGCGCTAGGAGCAGGTCCAACGTTGAGCAATAAGAACATTAAAAAGTTCAACATTCAATCCCGTCAATTTGAATTCCAAAAATAACGTTGGGCCACGAAGGGTTAAAGGAAATAAAATTGCAAGTGAAGCTCTGGCTGGTTTGACTTAGTGCAGTGGTTCTCAACCTTCTGGCCCTTTAAATACAGTTCCTCATGTTGTGACCCAACCATAAAATTATTTTCGTTGGTACTTCATAACTGTAATGTTGCTACTGTTATGAATCATAATGTAAATATCTGATATGCAGGATGGTCTTAGATGACCCCTGTGAAAGGGTCATTCGACCGCCAAAGGAGTTGCGACCCACAGGTTGAGAACCGCTGGCTTAGTGGATAGAGAATCGGCCCTGAAAGGTTGCGTGTTTGATTCCTGTCAAGGGCACTACCTTGTTTGTTCCTTAGTTGCAGGCTCTATCCCTGGCCCTGGTTGAGGCATGTGCAGGAGGCAACCAGTTGATGTATCTCTCACATACATATTTCTCTCTGTCTGTTTCTCCCCCTCCCTTCTACTCGCTCTCTAAAAATCAATGGAAAAATATCCCTGGGTGAGGATTAACAAAAAAAATTGTAAGTGAAGCTGCTGGATGGTTGAAATTATCTGAATATCTTTAAAGAATTACCAAGTAAGCTTCTTGCTATAAGTATTTAATTAATTTTAAACCCTATTTGGTTTAGAAACCATTTACACTGAATTTCTGGTTTAGTGTTCATTTAAAACCATCTATACTATTCTGTTCAGGCTCTGGATCCTAATCTTGCTTTGGTTACCTCTCTCTGGTCACTGACTGCTGCTGAAGTGTAGAAAAAGAAGGCATATGACTGCAATCTAATTCCTCATATTTGTTAGAGGAAAATCTTCAGGGAAAAAGTTTACTTAGAAAATGCCTGTGGCAATTAAATATGGAACTGCCATTTGACCCAGTGATCCCACTTGGAGGAATATTTCCTAAGAAACCTGAAACACTAGTCAGAAAGGATATATGCACCCCTATGTTCATAGCAGCACAATTTACAATGCTAAGATCTGCAAACAGCCCAAGTGCCCATCAGTAGATGAGTGGATAAAGAAGCTGTGATACATTTACACCATGGAATACTATGTAGCAGTAAAAATGAAGGCTCTCTTACCCTTTGAGACAGCATGGAGGGACCTGGAGAGTATTATGCTAAGTGAAATAAGCCAGTCAGAGGAAGACAAGTATCACACAATCTCATTCATGTAGAATCTAAAGAACAAAATAAACTGATGAACAAAATAGATCTAGAGACATAGAAACATGGAACAGACTGATGAATCTCAGAGGGATAACAGGGGTGGGTGGGTGGGAAGAGATTAACCAAAGAATTTGTATGCATAAACCATGGACACAGACAATAGTGTGGTGAAGGCCTGGGAAGAGGGGGTGGGGAAGCAGGCTAGAAGGAGTCAATGAGTGGGAGAAGGGGAACATCTGTAAAATTTTCAACAACAAAGGTAAATTTTTAAAAAAATGCCTGGTGATTGCGGGGGCCATGGGGATAGGTGGAGGTGGAAGAGTTAGATATAAAGGGGATAAATGGAGATGAAAAAAATAATGAAATACGTGTGTATTTATTTTACTCAGAATTTATTCTACACATAATCATTTGGGCATGGTGGTAGAAGTAAATGAGAATGCATGTTTGTCTTATTAAAGCCAAAAGATGAGATGTTGCAATTTCTTACTAAAATTACTCTTTTTTTTCATATGAAAACTTAAGGAAACCAAGGACAGCTGTGGTGTGTTGAAAGCACAGGAGCCATGCAATCGGAAGGCCTGGGGTTTAAATTCGAGTTCATCACAGATGTAAGGTGGTGTTATTTTTATTCCTCCTCTGTTACAATGCTTTTTTATTTATTTATTTATTTTTAAAATATTTTTTTTTATTGATTTTTTACAGAGAGGAAGGGAGAGGGATAGAGAGTTAGAAACATCGATGAGAGAGAAACATGGATGAGCTGCCTCCTGCACACCCCCCACTGGGGATGTGCCCGCAACCAAGGTACATGCCCTTGACCAGAATCGAACCTGGGACCCTTCAGTCCGCAGGCCGACGCTCTATCCACTGAACCAAACTGGCTAGGGCTACAATGCTTTTTTAATATGTGAAGTTTACATTTTGTCCTAGAACACATTTGCTTCTCCATAAAAAAAAAAACCAAAAAAGTTATGTACTGAATGTCACTCTTTTATTTCATTATAAGTGAGGCAACCCTGGTATATGGTAACTAATATACCATATGGTAACTAATCCCAGTGAAATAAGATTTGATTTTGAAATAGTCTTAGAATTTGTATTTGAATGAAAGTGATATTTTGGGAAGTTCTAATTCACTGTACCCTGTTTATAACAGCACTGTTGGGGAACAAAATTGTAGTCTATAATTCTGTTATCTCATGTTCTTAAGAGTATGTGGTTATAGAATTTGGGGAAATATCTTTTGAGTCAAATGATGGGCTATAACATGGATATTACTTAGGTAGAATAATGCAACTTCATTATAAGATTGCTCTATATATCTGTCTTTTTCCTTTCCTCCATGCAGAATTTATCCATAATCACCTTTTTCAGAAGCAACAATTAGAGGAAGATTTAACTCGGGATGAAATAAAGCACCACCCTAAAATGAGACCCCCATTTTCTTTCAGTGTTTATCTTTGCCAGGATAAGGAAGGGCAAATAAAAATGTTGCCTTTAAGGCCTTGATTCTGGATGTTAGATGAAGTAGACAGAGTGTTGACCACATGTGACCTAAGCAGTGTTGGTGGTTATTTTACCAAGCTTCGGATCAAGGTTTGCTTGAAATAAGCTGTGCTGTGGATAAACCTTTGAAAGACCCAGGAGTGAACTGTATTGCCCTCTACATTCTTCCCGCCAGAACATTACTTTGTGGTATTGATTTTGAAAAATGAAATTTAACTTGTAAGAGCACATATCAGATTCAGGTATTCTTAAATATGAAATTGCCTTTGACCTACCCAGGAGCTATAGAATAATGATAATCACAGAGGGAAGAATAAAGTCATTGTACAGATTTTTCTGTGCTCCTTTTAGTAAATCTATTCTGGAGTGTAGAGGTGGACAGTTGGTAAACCCAGTTTCTTTATTGTGTGATGCATCAGTTTGATATTGTCAGTCTGTTACCAAGGTTTGTATTGGGATCATTGCTGTGAAAGAGGCTCCCAGGATATTGTATCACCAGTTTTTAGATGTTGTTGTAGGTTTCATCCAGAGCAGATGGAAGGGTAACACGGTAACCTAGTACCCAATTTAGGAGCGTGTTGAAAAATAGACTGATGAAGGCTTAACTCAAGTCAGATAATTTCTATTATAGGCGGACACGACTGAATTAGTTTAGGGTTGTGTTTTTTGTTTGTTTTTTCAAATAAGCCAATTTTTTCTATGATTAGAATCAACATTATTGGTGGGAGCAGGAAATTTAGGGGCAGGACATTAGTTATAAGATCAAAGGACAGCTGCTTCTGTGTCACAGCTGTAAGGACAGGAAGGTGCCCATGTTTCTCAGGTGCTGCTTTTGCATAGTTACATCAGCAACGTGTGTCAATAGACAAAGGAAGGACGAAGAATATGTACCATGACATTCCACCATCAGCCAAAAGCCACATAATTTTCATTATAGGGAATAGTACATTTTGGTGTACTTTTAAACCCTTATTTCTTTCATTTTTAAAAAATACATTTGAACTCTTACTATGTGCTCAACAGAAGAGTAGGGAAACAAGATTCTAATATAGAACCACTCTTCTCTTTTTTCCCTTGAAGCCAATAGGGTTTAGTGTGTGTATTATACACACACATATGTGTATGTATGCATTTAATATATAGCATAGTAACCCTTGGGTTTTTAGATGTGTTATACTATCTGTATATATAAAAACCTAAGCAGCCGTCCAACCATTCAACCATCCGACCAGTAGCTATGACGTGCACTGACCACCAGGGTGCAGACACTCAATGCAAGAGCTGCCAAGCTGCGGTGACTTGGCAACTGGGGTTCTCGGGTGACACAGCTGGAACCAGAGAGGAGGGAGTCTGATTCCGGGGTATGTCACCCAAAAACCGCCCTCTCACAATCCGAGACCCCTGGGGGAATGTCAGAGAGCCAGTTTCGGCCCGATCCCCACAGGCCAGGCAGAGGGACCCCACTTGTGCATGAATCCATGCACTGGGCCTCTAGTTACTTATAATGTGCTTATTTAAAAAGGGATAACATAACATACATTTTACAAATGATTGTATGAGTAAACACAACCCTTGTAACTGCCACCCACATTAAAAAAAAAAAAAGACGACTTTGGCCAGCGTGTCAGAAGCCTGGTGGCTCTCTTCCCAAATACACCCCACTTGTCCCCCTTCCTCGAGTATGCTAGCCTCACTCTCTAGGTATTCGTTTCCTTGCTTTTCATCTTACCACTTAAGCGTGTACCATAGGCACCAGAAACATCCATATAGTTCAGGGTTGTCTGTTTGGCAACTCTATATAAATGGAATGATAATTGCCCTTTTCTTTCGTCTTGCTTCTTCCATTTGTTATCCACATTGTGGAATGTAGCTGTGGTTTGTTCATTTTCATAGCTCTGTAGTATTCTGTTGTATAAATCTACCACAGTTTATTTATCCATGCTGCTGTGTTGGACATCTGGGTTTTTTACAGTTTGCACCTACTACATGTACTGTTGCTATGATTATTCTTAGGCTGTCTTTTGATGCACATGATATGACAGCAGGCAATGAAACTATCTTTTCCTTCATGCACATTGAGTGAGCCAGTAACCTAATGAAGGAAAGCAACCACTGTGTGGGTTATTCTAAGGTGGTAGGTGCTGTCTAGACATGGAGATGACCATTTCCATCCAGGTGAATAAAAAATAGAGTGTCCAGGATTGTAACTTTGCTTAAGACTCACGTCTACAGTTATTTTTTTTTTTCAGGAAAACAAAATACTTTTGTTTTTAAACTACCTCTGGCATGATTTCTAGAATTCTAAAATTACCAGAATGAAATGTCCTTAGAGGGTAGAGAGTGTATCTTACATTTCTTTTACGTTCTTCGCAAAGACCATGGCAATGCTGGAAAGATGTTAAGTCCCCACTACACGTGCATTACCTCAATAAGTATACTCCAGAGTGAAGTTATTTCTGCAAAAAGGGTCTGATTTTTAAGGAGCGGGTCCTTAAAAGGGGGCAGGAGTGATTCGCTTAACTTACATGTTTTTCTGTTTTGAAAGCCTCTTTCCTGACAGATGGAAAAATTCTAGCTTGGATGAACCAGTGTAATAATCTGTCTTTCCCATAATTTTTTTTTACCATATTCTTACATGTCCTAAGTACAGCTAATATTTGTGTATTCCTGAGGTCTTTTCAAGTTATAATTTGGGCCTTTTGTTTGCCTTTTGAAATGGAAGACAAAATAGAAAATACACTAAAAGGCAAGTTTATCACTTCTGGTGGCTTGTACTTTAAAGCATCTGCATTTTAAGGCTGGACCAGGTAGGGCAGATCATGGTATATTGATTCAGTATCCTCCTCTTTATATGAGCTTCATTCTGAAACTGTAGCAAAATCAAAATGTTTGCCACAGTATTCTGGGTTATCTGAAGTCTTGTTTCTGTTTACACAAAATGGCCATTGGCCTAATGCAGTTAACAAGAACACTTTACAGCTCACTCAAGAACTATTTCAAGTGCTGAGGAAAAGGCATTTTAATTGAACAATTACTTATCCAGAATCAGGATGGCCGAGAACGCGGCTTCTTGTGAATTCAGCACACTACCCATACACAATTGGCTTTGCTCCTTTGCTATAACAAATGTCTTTGAATTCTTTTTTGCAATGAAAAGATTCATATGGTTTGTCTTCCTTGGGGATTGTAACTTTCAAAAGATGCCCTTAAATATATTACTACCTTATTTAAACTATTTGCTTACCAAGTTTAAATAAATAATTCGTGCAGTACTTTGTACAAAGAATAAGTTACGAATCCCCTGGACACACTAGAGGGAAATGCTCTGCTGGGTTTCCGACTGTTTTTCTGTGGTCGATTTATGACTTGATGCCCAGCTTCTTTATAGACTCACCGCTCACAAGATAGTTCCCTTTCATGTGTTTTCCATGCTGATAGAAAGAAACACTATGTTCGTGTCTTAGTCTTTTTGGGCTACTATAAAAAATTGCCATAATCTGGGTGGTTCAAAACAGCAGAAATTTATTTCTTACAGTTCTGGAGACTGAGAGTCCAAGATTAAGTCTCTGGCAGATTCACTGTCTAGTGAGTGCCTGCTTCCTGGTTCATAGACAACCTTTCTTTTTGCTATAATCTCCTGTGGTGGAAAGCTGTCTCTCTCACATGGGCAGTAATCCCATTCTTGAGGCTCCACCCTCCTGACCTAATTACTCCCCAAAGCTTCACCTCCTAATAACATTACCTTAGGGGTTAAGATTTCAAACTATGGCCTTAGCCGATTTGGCTCAGTGGATAAAACCTTGGCCTGTGGACCGAAGGGCCCCAGGTTCAATTCCAGTCAAGGAGTCAAGGGCACGTACCTTGGTTGTAGGCTCCTCCCCAGCCCAGGCCCTGGTTGGGGGCATGTGCAGGAGGCAACCAATCTATGTGTTTCTCTCAAGTGGATATTTCTCTCTGTCTTTCCCTCTCTCTTCCACTCTCTTAAAAAATAAATAAATAAATGGAAAAATAGCCTCAGGTGAGGATTTACAAAAAAAAAAAAGATTTTAAACTATTAATTTTTTTTGGGGGGGGGGAGCGGGAAGGGGGCGGGAGGTGGGGAGACAC